ACCAACACCACCAACACCAACACCACCAACACCACCAACAACACCAACACCGCCAACAAAAACACCACCACCGACAACACCAACACCACCACCAACACCACCAACACCACCAACACCACCAACACCGCCAACACCGCCAACACCGCCAACACCGCCAACAGCACCACCAACACCACCACCAACACCACCACCACCACCACCGCCGCCGCCAACGCCGCCACCACCACCGCCGCCAACGCCAACGCCAACACCAACGCCTACACCAACGCCAACACCAACGCCAACACCAACGCCAACACCAACGCCAACACCAACGCCACCACCAGCGCCACCACCAGCGCCACCACCAGCGCCACCACCACCACCAACACCACCACCAACACCACCACCAACACCACCACCAACACCACCACCAACACCACCACCAACACCACCACCAACACCACCACCAACAGCACCACCAACACCACCACCAACACCACCACCAACACCACCACCAACACCACCACCAACACCACCACCAACACCACCACCAACACCACCACCAACACCACCACCAACACCACCACCAACACCACCACCAACACCACCACCAACACCACCACCAACACCACCACCAACACCACCACCAACACCACCACCAACACCACCACCAACACCACCACCAACACCACCACCAACACCACCACCACCACCACCACCACCACACCACCACCAACACCACCACCAACACCACCACCAACACCACCACCAACACCACCACCAACACCACCACCAACACCACCACCAACACCACCACCAACACCACCACCAACACCACCACCAACACCACCACCAACACCACCACCAACACCACCACCAACAGCCACCACCAACACCACCACCAACACCACCACCAACACCACCACCAACACCACCACCAACACCACCACCAACACCACCACCAACACCAACACCACCACCAACACCACCACCACCAACACCACCACCACCACCAACACCACCACCACCAACACCACCACCACCAACACCACCACCACCAACACCACCACCACCAACACCACCACCACCAACACCACCACCAACACCACCAACAACAACACCAACAACAACACCACCACCAACACCAACAACAACACCACCACCACCACCAACACCACCACCACCAACACCACCACACCGACACCACCACACCAACACCACGACACCAACACCACGACACCAACACCACGACACCAACGACACCAACGACACCAACGACACCAACGACACCAACGACACCAACGACACCAACAACAACGACACCAACGACACCAACGACAACAACAACGACACCAACGACAACAACAACGACACCAACAACGACAACAACAACAACAACAACAACAACAACAACAACAACAACAACAACAACAACAACAACGACACCAACGACAACAACAACGACACCAACGACAACAACAACGACACCAACGACAACAACAACGACACCAACGACAACAACAACGACACCAACGACAACAACAACGACACCAACGGCAACAACAACGACACCAACGACAACAACAACAACGACACCAACGACAACAACAACGACACCAACAACAACAACCAGCAACCAGCAACCAGCAACCAGCAACCAACAACCAACAACCAACAACCACAACCAACAACCAACAACCAACAACCAACAACCAACAACCAACAACCAACAACCAACAAACAACAAACAACAAACAACAAACAACAAACAACAAACAACAAACAACAAACAACAAACAACAACCAACAACCAACAACCAACAACCAACAACCAACAGACAACAAACAACAAACAACAAACAACAAACAACAAACAACACCAACACCAGCAGCAGCAACAGCAACAACAACAGCAACACCAGCAGCAGCAGCAACAACAACAACACCACCAACACCACCACCAACAACAACAACAACACCAACAACACCAACACCACCAACACCACCAACACCACCAACACCACCAACACCACCACCAACAACAACAACAACAACAACAACAACAAGAACAGCAAGAGCAACAAGAGCAACAAGAGCAACAAGAGCAACAAGAGCAACAAGAGCAACGAGAGCAACGAGAGCAACAAGAGCAACAAGAGCAACAAGAACAACAAGAACAACAAGAACAACAAGATCAACAAGAACAGCAAGAACAGCAAGAACAGCAAGAACAGCAAGAACAGCAAGAACAGCAAGAACAGCAAGAACAGCAAGAACAGCAAGAACAGCAAGAACAGCAGCAGCAGCAGCAGCAGCACCAGCACCAGCACCAGCAGCAGCAGCAGCAGCAGCAGCAGCAGCAGCAGCAACAGCAACAGCAGCAGCAACAGCAACAGCAGCAGCAACAACAACACCAACACCACCAACACCACCAACACCAACACCAACACCAACACCAAAACCAACAACAACAACAACAACAACAACAACAACAACAACAACAACAACAACAACAACAACAGCAGCAACAACAGCAACAACAGCAGCAACAACCACAGCAACCACAACAACCACAACTACCACAACAACCACAACAACCACAACAACAACAACAACAACAACAACAACACCAACACCAACACCAACAACATTTTCATTTCATTTCGGACGCATGTGCGGGTTATGTCCCACACGGCTGAAAATTGAGTGACCTATTCGTCTGGGACCTGATCAGTCCGATGTACTACTATCTACTTGCGTTCTGGGTTGCGCTTCTACGCGCGTCTCTGCGAGATTGGTCTTCAACCTCAGCAGGCAGGCTGTCAGGCAGGCCGTGTCTGAGAGCATCGGCACAGTAAGCTGGCATTTGTGCATAATGAGGCAGTGAGGCTTTTTGTCTGTAGTGCTGTTTAAGGTCAGGAGGCTTGGTCGAGTCCATTGGTAGGACACTAGGCGCTTGGCGGTGCTGTGGTCTACCGAGCCGGAGGTAGCCTCACTCACATACTGGCATCAGGCTGATGGTGCGATAGGGGGATGCCAGGATAGCTGCTTCTCGAGCCCGAAGGAGGGATTGGACCTGTTTGCGATGCAGGGAGGTGAGCATCTTGTAGGCAATTGCGTACGGCTTGTATTCCTCGTAGACATCGTCGTGCAGCGGATTGATAATTTGGTGGAAGCGAAGAGCCATGCTACTCTGGAAGTCCTTAGAGCGGTCTTCCGGGTTAGGAGATCTAGCACTGGCTTGGAACGCGTAGTTGACCTGCTTGAGTAAGGCTTCTTCAAAGAGTTCCAGGAGTTCGCCTCTCGAAACCACCGCCTCTGAAATCACGGCGCGAACCCAGGCGATTTCTTCAGAGCAGGCCGAGAGGGCAGAGCCTCCAGATAGTCACAGTAGCTGTCTTTTCCGGCTTTATGGAGGCGATGCCTTTCGACAGGCTGCGTCTGTCCAGCTTAGGTAGAGCTTGTCCAGCCCCCTCGGTTAGGGGGGGATGCGAGGAAAGAATGGAGAGACTGTGTTTTTTAAGCTCTGCTAGCCCCTCTGACTCTGTTAATATGCGGCCGCAGGGCGATCTCAGGTAGACTCTGGGTGCAGGGGACCAGGGGGCTACGTGTTTCAGGGAGCGGTATGCCGCACGTGGGTCTCTTTTTACCTTCTCCGATATCTCGTTAAGAGTTTGGTGAGTCTTAGCACGGGCCTGCTTCTTGACCTGACTGGCGTGTTCCTTCGCTGCCTCGTTTAGTGAGCGTTGGGCCTGTTTGAAGTGCTCTGATCGAGCCATCTTGCTTATGACATCTTCCTCTCTTTTTAGGTTCCTTAGTGCGGTCTGTCGTTGGCTATGCAGCTGCCAAAGAGGCTGCGCCGTTGGCCCGATGTTAGTGCAGCTTTCCTCTCGCTCCTGCGATTGAAAGGTCTTTGCATGTTCAAGGAGGATCTCGTTTACTTCATCGGGGTGAAGAGGTGCTCCATTTTTCTGCTCTCGAAGTTGGCTGACCTCCTTTTCAACTTGGTCCCGCAGATTCTGAGCCGAGGAGGTCCCTTGTCCGACGTGTTGGGCCAGTATTTGCTTTTGTTTGGAGGGGACTGCTGGCTGCAAGTTGGTCGAGAGTGGGTGTCTCCAGACCTTCTTTAAAGGTATTGCAGTGCGAAGTGGCCTGTGTCTGCCTCCTTTCCTCCACGCGCCCAGCTTGAAGTCCTGAATTACATGCACTTTCCGGGCTAGTTGAGCTGCGTAAAATTTTGTGGTTAACAAGAAGTCAATTTGGGAGCTACCCTGTGGTGAGGTGTAGGTGTTAGCCTTCCACCCCTGCCAAGTGTTAAGCGCCACTAGGGAGTTTCGCTGGAGAAACTTCTGGAACTGCTTCTGAACGGGCTTTTGCTTGGAGGATCCTGCTGGAACCACTCCCCCTACGAAGGGGGGAAGGGGCTTAAGAGAGGAGTTGAAGTCCCCCGCTATCACTGGAATGGTGCGCTGTGACAAGTGGGAAAGAGACTTGCTTAGGGAGGAGAGTACGTTACCTTGGGTGGCATAGTGATCCTGCTCCGTCATTCCCCTCTGTTTTGTGTACTGATAGCAGTTCAGCAAGAGCACTGGTTGGCCCCGGACTTCGCAGTGGACTTCGTGAGCGCGTCCTGGGCGCAGGTCCTGCCAACGCAGCGTGGCAGAGTCTATGCTGGGCGAGACTAGGGTAAGCACACCTGCGGACCTCTTGTGCTTAGGTTGATCTGGTGAGAGGGATGCAGGAGCAGGAGGAGACCTCACGAGCTCTGCGTCTGGCAATCCTCTAGGTCCTGCTGCATTCCACGAGAAAACTCGCAGCGGTTTTGCCTCGCGCCCTCCTCTAGGGTGACGCCTTCGCGACTGCCTGAGGGGGAGCTTCGGTACAAATTGAGCATGCATGTGTTCCTGTATCCCCTGAGTTGCACTGGGTGCAGCTGTGCCTGCGCTTGCTTGTGCCTGGCTTAGAGGCAAATTAATCTCGCGATATGGTACTGCGCAACCGTCCCTTAAGGCTCGGTGACAGGCCCGACGATAGGAATGTTTACGAATTAAACCCTCTGCCATCCGCTTGTTTTGCCTGAAGTGCCGAGGCACGATCAGACTCCCCTCGTCCTGCGGAAAGACGAGAACACACTTGGGAGTGATAGATGCAGTCTAAGAGGATCTTATGTCTCCCCCCGGAATTGGGACCGGGCCAGCTCGTGGATATGCTGTCTGCGGCTGAATCTCAATTGCAAGAGGCTAGAGCCTCAAAGTGACCATCAGCTGGCAAGAGCTAGAAAGCCTTGAGATGTTAGGTGGGCCCCGAAAAGAGATGAAGTTCGGGGCCTTGGCCGGTTCGACAGCTACCATGCGCGGGCGGCTTGAGCTGGTAGTGCTTCAACACCACCAACAACAACAACGACAACGACGACGACGACGACGACGACGACGACGACGACAACAACAACAACAACAACAACAACAACAACAACAACAACATTTAATTTCATTTCGGACGCATGTGCGGGTCATGTCCCACACCTTGGCGGGCATCGAGGGGTAGAATGACTTAAAGTGACGGCTAATTCTAAGTCAACTTGAGCGCTGTGTGTAAGGTAAAGCCTCTAGCAAACGAATGAAAAGGCAGGACAAGAAAAGCGCGTTTGTTGACTGTCTTGCCCGGCAGCTGTCGCCAAAAGCTGGGCTAGACTAGCTGCAACACGGAGGTCAGTGGACTAGGAGGAGACCTCACGCGGTTTCACAAGCACGATGTCAATTTTCATCAACTGTACAATGGTGACCCGGCCGTGCACAGCAGGCAAAACTGCACTCTGCACAAACTAGCTGCAACACGGTGGACTTTAACCAGGAGGGGGACCTCACACGATTTTTTGACCAAGTCCGTGTACAGCAGGCAAAAACTGCACCTTGCACTTTACGAACCGACAAGAAAACACGACCTGAAACCCAAAACCCATGAGTAGAGCAGTGCAGTTGTTCAAAAAGCAGAGCAATCAATCAAAGTATTATTCACAGTTCCGGAGGGGTTATCCCCGACTTAAATGCTCGGTCAGTTGAGAAGAAGAGCTAGCGCTTAAGATTATGGGCAGCTGCTACTAGACAAAACTCTCCCGCGCTCAGGCTCTGCTGATGCAGCAGATATGAGCGACTAAACGTGCAGGTAAGGAAAAGCAGTAGCTCCAGAGTGGTGCTTATGGCTTAAGCGGCTGCTTCAAGAAACTACTGACAACTAAGTGTTACAAGCAAGGCTACAAGGCAGCTACACAACCACAGCCTAGAATGAGCAAATGAAGCGGAAAAGTCTGAGCTGTGAAACCCTGCTAAGAAGTTGCGTAGGCTAAAGTTCAGGAGGCGACCTCACTAGAGGAAAATTATGGCTCAGGCCGCTTCTGCTAGCGTAGGATGGCGTGATAGCACTGAGCTGGAAACTTAGGCTTCTCATGGAGAACGCCTTTTTTATTCTCGCTCAGGCCGCTGCCACTGCAGTGTGAGTTAAAGAAACTGAAATAACAACTGGCAACCAGCTAGCATCATTCTTCAGCGCCTTACCCGACGAACGGGACTACTAGGCCACAGCACTGCCTCACCCGACGGACGGGACTACTAGGCTGTCTTGACCAAGCAAAGAAATGAAAGTTACATCTTGCTGCCTTACCCGACGAGCGGGACGACTAGGCACTGCATGAGCCTGACCCGACGAACGGGACTACTAGGCTGAAATGTTGGCCTTCTCGCCAGCATTGATTGGAAGATGCGCAAGTGAAAGTGTGTAGGGTGTTGGGTTCAAGGTGGGTTGGTGTGACGTTGAGAGCACAAGCGCAGCGAAGAAACAAGCCGAGGAGAGCGTTATGTAAAAGCGTGCGAGCATAGCTTTCGGGGCTAATACCCTTGCACTGAGTGTCCCAGCGGAGTTCTTTTGGACTGCGTAACCACTCAAGAGCTTCTCCTGGAGCAAGGGGGCCGTCACGACCTCCTCCCCTAGGTCTGCAGCCGCGCCAAGCGCTGGCCGCGCCAGCCCGCCTAGCTCAGTACTGAAGGCTTGGAGTAGAATACATTGAGAAACGTTGGGTAAATGGCTTCCCCTCAAACTAGAAACTGCTGCGCGGCATCCTCAAAGCTGGTGATGAAACATCAGAAGACTTTCTCGCCTGAACTGTGAACAATACCAGATTTGCAAATACGCATTGGCCAGTGCCGTCCGACTTCAGCTTCCGAGTACCAGAGGCAATGATGAAGGGCCGTATAGAGATCTGCCGCTAGCGCAGCAGGGACTCAGGCTTGTCTCCGTCAACTTGGCTGGGGCTCGAGGCTCCCGCTAGTAGGACCGCTTCGTCGGACAGCATCTGTAGACATGCCACTGAAATAAAAACACTGTTGATTGTTGTCAAGCCGCGGTAAGACCTGCATGAACTAAGAACACCATTGCTCTGCTTTGTGAACCAGCGCATAGAAAAACCCGTCATCCATTGTAAAAGCCTCAAAATTATCCCCTCTGCCATCCGCTTGTTTCGACTGAAGTGCCGAGGCACGATCAGACTCCCCTCGTCCTGCGGAAAGACGAGAACCCTCACACTTGGGAGTGATAGATGCAGTCTAAGACGATCTTATGTCTCCCCCCGGAATTGGGACCGGGCCAGCTCGTGGATATGCTGTCTGCGGCTGAATCTCAATTGCAAGAGGCTAAAGCCTCAAAGTGACCACCAGCTGGCAAGAGCTAGAAAGCCTTGAGATGTTAGGTGGGCCCCGAAAGCTGTTAAAGAGATGAAGTTCGGGGCCTTGGCCGGTTCGACAGCTACCATGCGCGAGCGGCTTGAGCTGGTAGTGCTTCACCACCACCAACAACAACAACAACAACAGCAACAACAACACAACCAACAACAACAACACCAACAACAACAACAACAACAACAACAACAACAACAACAACAACAACAACAACAACAACAACAACAACAACAACAACAACAACAACAACAACAACAACAACAACAACCACCAACAACAACAACCACCACAACAACAACCACCACAACCACAACCACAACAACCACAACCACAACAACCACAACCACAACAACCACAACCACAACAACCACAACCACAACAACCACAACCACAACAACCACAACCACAACCACAACCACCACAACCACAACCACCACAACCACAACCACAACCACCACAACCACCACCACCACAACCACCACAACCACAACCACCACAACCACAACCACCACAACCACAACCACCACAACCACAACCACAACCACCACAACCACAACCACCACAACCACCACCACCACCACCACCACCACCACCACCACCACCACCACCACCACCACAACCACAACCACAGACAACACACAGCCACAACACACCACCAACCAACAACCAACACAAACAACAAAACAACAAACAAAAACAACAACCAACAACCAACAACAACAAACACCAACAACAACCAACAACAACCAACAACAACAACAACAACAACCAACAACAACCAACAACAACAACAACAACAACAAACAAAACAACAACAACAACAAACAACAGCCACAACAGCAACAACCAACAACACACAACACACAACAACAACAACACAACCACACCCAACAAACAACAACAACACAACAACAACACACCACAACAAACAACAACACAACAACCACAACCACAACCACAACAAACAACAAACAACAAACAACAAACAACCACATCCACAACAAACAACAAACAACAAACAACCAACAACCAACAACCAACAACAACCAACAACAACCAACAACAACCAACAACAACCAACAACAACCAACAACAACCAACAACAACCAACGACAACCAACAACAACCAACAACAACCAACAACCACCAACAACCACCAACAACCACCAACAACCACCAACAACCACCAACAACCACCAACAACCACCAACAACCACCAACAACCACCAACAACCACCAACAACCAACCACCAACCACCAACCACCAACCAACAACCACCAACCAACAACCAACAACCAACAACCAACAACCAACAACAAACAACAAACAACAACCAACAACAACAACAACAACCACAACAACAACAACAACCACAACAACC